TCTGCTCTTCCCAGCACCAAGTCTCAGGTTGTTCCATCCAGGAGACGGCTGCTCGACTGGATCTGCGCCAACCTGACATCGCAGCAAGACTCGCGTGCTCCGGAAGCTCGTGGGACGCGTCTGCTCCCGAAACTCGTGGATTCTTACTCTGTCTGCTATATGGTGACTTAAAGACTGCCGTTTTGCTCGGTTTCTGGGCCGTGGCTTCTCACGGCACCGCGCGGCTTCAGATCGATGACTTCAAGAGCACAAGTTGGTTCTTCCTGTTAAGGAAGCAAGCTTGGCTTTAACATGTATGTTTACCTCAATGTCATATTTCCTGTTTTTCCGTTTCTTCGTTTTTGTTTCAACTTTGTTGTTTTTTCGTTTCATAATCTTCATCATCGGCGTTTGTGTTTTCTGCTATGTGTTACAGAGAAGATGACACCAGCCGCCGTTAATCCGCATCGAAAAAACGACCACGTTTTTTCACAGGGAGACCGCGCCAAGAAGAGGCGGCTACCAAACGGTCACGCATACGAAGCAGTTCCGTTGGATCCTGACGTCTTCGAGCACGACGGCGAGATCATGTACGAATCGGACGGCAAGAAGCGAAAGATTTCCGCGGCGAACGGCGGTAAACGAGAGGAGTCTGGCGTTTCTAAGATGGACGGCGACTGCACGGGTCCGAACGAAATCGGTCGCAAGCGCAAGGCTCTGACAGAAATCATTCATCGTGATGGCCCAGGGAGCGTTTCGGAAGCCGTACGTGGGGTTCTTTCTAGGAGCGAGAGGAGATCTCTTAGGCGCGAGATTAGGACGGATTTGAATACGGTTCTATCTTTAGGTCGGAGAGTAGACGCTCGCGAGATTAGATTGATGCAGGAGCCGCAGGTTATTCTTAGTGACTCGCTCGGGGACCGGAGGGTTCGCAGATCGGAAAACGGCGGAGCCACGGAACTATCGTCTGCAGGGCAACCGCTTGATGGGGGCTTGGGGGAAACAGCACAGAGCGGAGGCCCCTTGGCGGTGGGAGTGGCGCAGCAACTCCACCAGCACCACCGAAAGAGAGGGGCTGCTGGCGGGGAGAGAACACCAGGCGGGAAGGAGAAGCGGACGCCGAAGGCGAATACAACGTACATACATCCCGACTTCCTGTCCGCTGCGGATAAGCTCCCCCCGCCGGAGAAGGGGAAGTCGAAGTCGTCTAGTCAGAAGAAGGGTGGCGGGAAGGGAGTAGAGCAGAAAGATCCGCGTAGGCAGAAGGTCGAGGCCGCACGGGCGAAGCGGATGGCGGATGCGTTCCGCATGTGCGGTGCGCTGCTTAAGCGAGTTATGTCGCACAGGTTCTCGTGGGTTTTCAATGTCCCTGTAGACGCGGAGAAGCTCAAGTTACACGATTACCACACGGTTATTAAGAATCCTATGGATCTGGGCACTATCAACACGAGATTGAAGGCGTCGGGTTACCAGCATCCCGACGAGCTCCACAACGACGTGCTGCTCGTCTGGTCCAACGCCATGACTTACAACGGGGAAGGCAATGACGTGTATCACATGGCGGCGGAGCTGAAGAACATGTTCGAGCAAGGGTATCAAAAGGTTCAGCAGAAGCTGGACGAGGATGGGGTGAAGAGGCGACAGGAGGACGAGTTGCTGGCAGCGGGAGGGGGGCTACCAGATCCCAGGGACAAGTCAGAAGTGTTGGAGTTAGAGAAGCGGTTACAGAAGTTAGAGTCGCAGCTTGTGGCGAGTACTAAGGCGCAGCAGCAGCAAGGGAAGGCCAAGGGGGGTCAGGCTAAGCCGCGAGCGACTGATACGAAGAAGAGGGACATGACGTTTGCAGAGAAGCAGAAGCTGAGTGTTAACCTGGGGAAGCTTCCTCCGGAGAAGCTAGACAGGATTGTGCAGATCATATCGGAGCGCAATCCTGATTTGAGTCAGAACGCGGACGAGATTGAGCTTGACATTGACTCGCTGGACAGTGAGACGCTGTGGGAGCTGGAGAGATATGTGGCCAACTGCATGAAGAGCAAGAGCAAGCGGAAGAAGCTTCCTCTTTACGATACTGTGCAACCCAAGGTTAGGAGCTTGAGTGGTGCTTGCTGGTTTATGTTTAACTCTATTGTGAGCTTTGCCGTTCATCTACAAACCTGGATACGCGGCCTAATTTGTTGACATTGTTTCTCTGTCCCACCTACTACCCTGGTCAGGGCGTGGATGCGTTCCCAGCAAGCTCAGCAGGAGACCTTAAAGGTAAATTGCTGCCTCATGTCTTACTAGTGCTGCTTAATGTGCCTACCGACATTTGTTCCTTCAGGCCAAGAACTTGTCAGGTGCTCACACCATCCTCTGTTGGCGTTATCACATGGCGATGCAGAAGGTGAAGACAGCATTGACATAGGGGACGAAGGGCCTTTGCCTGCGCAGCCAGCAGGCCCCTCTAGGCCGGAACCATCAAGGGCTTCAGCAGGGAATGGAGCACAAGGCGGGGGGGCTGCCTCTGACTCCTCTGGCTCGTCAGGCTCCAGTGATGACAGCTCCTCAAGTGGTATGTGTGATGCCCGCCTGGTTGGTACCACATGTGATTTCACTCGTCCACTGCTGCAGCTGAAGCTTCTGTGCATGCTTAGTTCACAGATTCTTAACTCTCTTTTTCCGCGTGTGATACATCTACAGAAAGCGACTCTGGGAGTGATTCTTCGAGCAGTGATTCAGACGAGATCCAGTCAAGAGATGCTGGCTCAGAGGCTTCCCCTGACAAGGTTGGTGGAGCATCTCGCTTGTAACTACTTGTTATTGGACCAGTGATTGCGCGGTTAACACTTTTTGTGTTGTATTTTGCAGAACTGGTAGCTCTTCCCTGTTCTTGCTGGTTTTATGAACATGCAACAGTGCTGCCTTGACAAGGGTTAGATGGATGTGTCATAATTCACAATACAATAGGAGGGTAAGCTTCTCTGCAGTTAGTACGTATTCTCAGTTGACAATTATCGAAGACTAATCTTTACTGCTTAGTTGGTTGCAGGTCGCCAGTGTGACTGGTCCAAACAGTGGTACATAGGCTTGATTCATGATGAGTCTGATTGTTGGAAGTAGCATATTCAATTGATTCTTTGTTTTAGCATGATGTAAGAAGTATTTTCTAGATGTGAAGTTATGACTACACAAGCTAAATGTAACGACGTATCAACTATCTTGATTTCTGGAACATTCTGTGACGCCGTCTCCATCCGCAATTTCGCCATCTGGTCGTTGCTTGCATCACACGTCGCAGGGCTCCCTATCTCCCGCTTCTCTCTGCCTTCCTCGATTCTCGCCTCGCTTCGCCCACACACAGCACCAACGGAGCTAGGGTTTCAATTATTGGCCGTCACTATTCGCTAGCTCCTAGGTTTCCGTCCGCCATGGAGGATTAGAACACGCAGATCAACACGGTTTAATCTAGCGGAATAGGACCCACTATTTTTGTTCTTAAGATTTCGTCGTTTGTGGAGCAAGCTGCATTAATTCTGCGTCGGATCTTTTTTTTTCCAAGGGAGGAAGGTATATTGCACCGATGAACCGTTTTTTTGTGTCCTAGCACATGGCTCAGCAGAAAAAAGCAAGAAACAATCTAAGCAAGGGAATAGGCGTTTTTTAGAGTTTGGATCTAAAGGAGTTAGTATGTAAGTTACTTGTTATTAGAATAAGATTCGATGTCGCATAGGTTGCGTTGACTATACTATATTAGGCCAGGGTGGTCTTCTGCATCGGTACTATGTTTAACTTGGCGAGCTTGTTTCAACTGGTATATGTATCATGGCAGGTGTATAAACCATGACTTCCTCTGGTTCGTGTTACCCACGATGAATTGCAGTTGCGAAGTCTGGCACTTCCTTTCCGTGATTCACGTGGGCTTGTCCTCGCATGGAAAGAGGTGCAAAGGTGCGTCTTTCCTGCCTTTTGCTGTTTCTCAACCTTATCACGTGATGCTATTCTTGTCTAGAAATCTCTGCTACAGGACTTTAGAATTATGCTCTTGTTTCTGTTCGCAACAGGGAGCAATGGCGCCAGCAGCTCTCGAGCCTCGCAGACGGAACGAGGTTATCATAACCAGGGAAGAGGCTATGAAGCGGCGAGTACGCAAGGGATACGCGTTGGAGCCTGTAGGTCCGGCACCTGACGTAAACAGCAAAGGTTTTGAGAAGCTAGATAGTTTAGATAGTCGAAGGAGAAAGTCCACAGGAAGCGTTAGCGTTATTAAGGCTTCAGCAAATGCACCGCCTGTCGCCGATTTCCCAGCAGTTCCCGTTGCCGCTCAGCCCAGCTTCTCAGAAGAATCACTGAAACGGAAGGTTCCAGTTTACAACGGCGGAGGTCACGCGGTTGATCATGCCAGGGCAGGGGATAGGAGAGGCAGCAGAGAGAGCAGTAGAGACGGAGGCACAGGCACCGGGTTGGCTGGGTGGACACGTGGCGAAAGGAGAGGCTTGCGGAGAAAGTTCCGAGATGAGCTGGAGCAGCTGCAGGGGTTAAGTGAGAAAGTGGAAGCCAGGGAGGGAGCATTACGGCGCGAGGAGTTGTCAGGGAAGGGTGCGGAGAGCCGGAAGCGGATGAGACGTTCCGAGAACGGTACGATTGCATCTCACACGGTGGAATCCGGGTCGATGGACGCTTCACCTGTCACTGTAGCCGCTCCGCTCGTTCCTGCGCCCCCAGTGCGAATACAGGGTTCAGAGACGGAGCCTTCAGGCAAGGAGTGGATCGCACCGTTAAGCGCTGATTCGTTTCATGCTAAGGAGAAGGCCTTGGTTCCCGAGAGAGGTAAGGGGAAGAATGTCCCTGCAAACACGCCGGAATTCGATCTGAAACGGCAGAAAATCGAAGCTGCTAGAGCGAGGCGATTGAACGACATTTGTAAGCAGTATGCGACGCTGCTGAAACGACTGATGTCGCATAAATACGGATGGGTGTTCAAAGAGCCCGTCGATGCGGTGAAGCTCGGTTTACACGATTACCACACGGTGATCAAGAATCCGATGGACCTGGGCACGATTACCGCGAAAATCAAGGCGTCGGGTTACCAGCATCCAGACGAACTGTACAGCGACGTGCAGCTGGTTTGGTCGAACGCAATGCGGTATAACGGGGAAGGCAGTGACGTGTACATCATGACGTTGGAACTGAAGGGCCTGTTCGAGCAAGGGTACAGGAAGATCCGACTCAAGGTGGAGGAAGATGCCGCGAAACGCAGGCAGGAGGACGAGGAGCTGATGGTTGTAGAGGACGTTAAGGGGGCTAAGGCAACGAGGGAGATGAGTGATGGCCGTGAGAAGCCGGAGGTTCAAGAGCTGGAGAAGCGGCTGCAGAAGCTAGAGTCGCAGATGCAGGCCGGTGGGAAGGTGACGAGCCAAGCAGTGGCGCAGGTTCAGGCGAAGGGAAAGCTTCCCCTGAGGGACATGACGTTTGCGGAGAAGCAGAAGCTGAGTGTCAACCTGGGGAAGCTTCCTCCGGAAAATCTGGATCGGATTGTGCAGATCATTTCGGAGCGCAACCCGGATTTGAGTCAGAACGCGGACGAGATCGAGCTTGACATTGACTCGCTGGACAGCGAGACGCTGTGGGAGCTAGAGAGATATGTGGCCAACTGCATGAAGAGCAAGAGCAAGCGGAAGCGGGCTCTGCTGCAGCAGAAGCAATCGGTGCCTTCGTCCAAGGTTTGTGTGCGTGCATGGTTGGTTTGGAGATCAGGGCTGTATGATGTTTAGCTTCTCTGTGCTGCGCGTTTCACACTGAGATAAACTGGCATGCTGATCTGGACGTGCTGCCGTTTTTGGCCTGTGCAGGTTCCTGACGCTCTTCCAGCTTCACAACAGGAGCTCAAAGGTATAATGAAAACCTTTTGCCTGTTTAAAACCGCACTGCCTTTCTTGTTGTCTGGATTGTGTAAAGGCAGCACTCTTATTGTCCTGTCATTGTGCCATGCTGTGCTTGTGCTGTTCAATGACATTTTGTTCCTCTTTCTTTCACTTCTCAGAAGGCGAGGACAGTGTTGACATTGTGGAGGAAGGTTCCGGTCTTATCCATGGGGCTGCTGCTGTCACCTCTGCTGCAGACTCGGGGGCAGCCAAGCTGCCTGCCGGGAATGGAGTGGGAGGGAAGGCCAGTCCAGGCACCTCGGGATCATCCAGTTCGAGCGATGGTAGCTCGTCTAGTGGTATGCTTGTCAAGCCTGAAATTATCTTCGCTCTGTTCCCTCCCCACGCCTCACCTCTATCCATTTCTTCCATCATCACTCCCAGCATCAATTACCATTTTCTTTCCCCACACTCAATTGTTTCTTCCAAATGTCCTTCTCAGATAGTGACTCAGACAGCGGCACATCCGCCAGCGAGTCTGATCAGGAAGATCGGCGCTCCAAGGGAACACCTTCTGAGCCTGCCCGTGGGAAGGTGACTGAATTGCTCTGTTTCCTGCCGATCCTTCAGCATTTTGCAAAAAAAAGAAAGACTGAAGAAAAATAATGTTGGTACCTCCCTTTACTCGTTAAATTGTGCAGCAGACTCAGAGCAAGGATAGTGCGAAGGCCAGTGATAAACGCTCCTCGCCTAATGCTGGTAAGCCAAGTTGCACAGCAATTGCACTGGGGTAGTGCAATTTGTGTCCCAATGCAGCTGAACTGGACATTTTGTACAGGGTATTCATGCTGTGTGAACGCCCATAAATTTGGTGGTTTGTTGCATTTGATACAGGGGGTGACAGTGTTGCTCCAAGTGAAGGGGTGAAGATGGAGGTTGATGTGAAGCAAGATGAAAAGCCAAAGGAGGTGAAGCCATCTTTCAAAGGTAAGTGTATTGGAGGCTCTTTGTATACAGCGTGGGGTGGTACATCATGGTGAACATCTCTATATGTTATAGCAGCAATCGCTCATGCCTCATGCTTGATTTCCTAATCTTCTCAGGTGATGATGAGGCGGCTGTAAAAGCAGCCCTTCTTCGGGGGAAGTACGCTGACATAATTTTGAACGCCCAGAAGAAAGCAACGGAGGCAAGTCGATATTTTCACAACTCTTGCTTGCTTGTTCCTATGTTGCAATGGTCTTAGCTTCTTATTCTTTTTGTTCCATTCTTCCTTGCAGACTCAAAGTGTGGATCAAAAGCAGCTAGAAGAAATTGAGAGAAAGCACAGAGAAGGTATGTATGGTAGGACGTCATTTTTCCTTTCCTTGTCGGAAGGATATACTAACACCCTTGTCATTGTGCTTTACGATCCAGAGCGAGCTCGTTTGGAAGCTGAAGCCAGGGCAGCACAGGAGACTCGCAGGCGGAAAGAAGCAGAGGCGACTATTGAAGCCCGGAAGAAGCTGGAGGAGCAGAGGGAAGCAATGCGTCGTGCTCTGCAAGGGGTATGCTCCCTCCCTACTAGGGCCATCTGTTATGTTTCTGTGCCAATGTTCTTTCTATATTCAGTGTATTCATCCGTTGTTCCGGGCTCTGTCCAATGCTGTGTTGCATGGCAAGCAGATGGCAAAGTCCGTGGAGTTGGACGAGAGCCATGCCATCATGAAGGACATGCACCTTCTGAGTGCTCCTGCTGAGCACATCAGCATTGGTCCAGACCGCTCCACCGAATTGCTGTTTGGTGGTGAAGGTGCAAGAGTCTCAGGTCCTCAACAGGGAATGAACGTGCTAGAGCATTTAGGGCTATCACTAAGAGATGAATCAGATGGAGAAGAGAGTGAAGATGAAATGGAGGCAGACAGAAGCAAGGAAGAAGTGGAAGATGGGGAAATCTGACTGGGGGCAATGCTTGCAACTTCTGGGGCTTTGGACACACTTCTAGTCTCTGAACTGTTGCTTGCATACACATGGATATATTGCACATGGTACAACCATTCCCTTCTCACGACCTGACTCGTAAATATTTACATGAATAACATGCGATAACACCTTACCTACATTCTCCACATTGTTAAATAAAAAGCAGGCGATGATGAAACAGGCAGTCACATTGTCACCTGATGGAGTTTAATATTGACCACACAAAATGAAATAACGTCTGAGGCGGATTGAAGAGTGTTCTACGGAATCCATACAGTAGTGGTACCGTATCTGCAAAAACCGTTTTGGAAAGGCTCAGCAAACAACAAAGAAAAAATCGCTTACAACATAAAAACGGGGGTAGCAAATGTGCTTCACCTGAAACGAATGGTTTGTGAGATTGAGCAATATAAGTCCGCGTGCCTCGTTATCTTGTCTCACCAGCCCTGGACGGGGACGACACACACCTACCTCTCCATGGAATGTCGCAACAAAATACTTCTCACCAGCTGCTCACCAGATTAGGGCGTTTCCATAATAATCAGCGAGGTCCAAAGATACAGCACCTGCACACGCAGAATAGAGGTAAGCAAAGCAGTAGCAACAAATGGAGCTCGAGTGCAAAAGCGTGAGAACTAATAAGAGAAAGAGGAAGAGGAATCGAAACATACCACTGAAACGGAAGAGGTGAAGGATTCCGCACGACGCAGCGACCGTATTATCCCAATGATGTAGAGCTAATCGTCAAAAAGTTTTTCCAGCCTCCCAGATGTCATTTCACGGGTACTGTCGCCATCGTAGCATACGAGGGATATGCTCGTCGCAAAGCATGAAGAAGCAAGGTTGTGCGACGATAGCCTTTCTTGACATAATTGTTCTATTGCATATAGCCCAGTAATACTGCCTGGATACGACCTGCAACCATAACAGATCAATAACTTGCGTAATGCAAGAAGCCGCAGTGAACTTCCTTACCTGTCATTACCTTAGCTTGTACGGTCTACTGAAGGAAAGTCGTCGCCTCCAATAATCAACTGAAATTCAACTGGGGCATGAACACTGTGATGGTTGCGGCAAAAGAGCAGGGAGCAAGGGAGTTGGGAGTGTGAGTGGCTCTAGCCGAAGCCAACCCAAACAGGCGGGGCGAGTGCGGAAACTGGCGCAGGTGAGGTTGGAGCAGAGCGATACACTTTCGCTGACGTGTCCAAACCCTCGATGCTGTAGTGTTACAGAATCTAGCTTGCTTTATTCCTTATGGAATACAGTAAATGTTTGCCATAATTCCCGAACTCCCATTTAGCAACGGATGACCCAACCTGGGCCCTATCCGTCTCAGGGCGCGTGATTGTTTCCTCATCGCTGAAAATCCGGACGTTGTGCAACGTCTTGTCCGAAAGCGTGAGATGCCTACGACGTCGTACGGAAGCGATACGACGCTCACGACGTCGTTTAGTTCCTGACGAACGTTAAACGCCTTAGGTAACCACAAAACCGTCCAGACGCCTCGTCATCCAGACCAAAACAAATCGAAAAAGTTACGCGCCCTTATGCGGCATGATCTCCTCAGGCCTCGACTCTCCATCATTCTGCGGTTAGCCAGCCTTCCTGCCTAGTACTTGCGTCTACTCTGAAACTAAGTGTACACATGGGTATGTAGCCATAAATTCTCTGCAGGTCTATTTCGCTACTGTCACAACGCCGCCATTTTTCCTTGTCGAAGAAGCAAGTCCGCTTGCTCGCTGATCCTAGTTAACGAACTCATTTTCTGGTCCGTGTTAACGCGAGTTGTGCTGCGTCGTGCGATCGCATTTCTTAAACGTGCCTGCATCTCGCGACATGGACGGTAGCGGAAAGGGACCTTCTTCCGCGCCTGAAGGCGGCGGTTCCTGGCCCGGCGGACCGAATCGGCCCCGTGACGGCCCTTACGGCGGCGGCGGCGGCGGAGACAGCGGGCTAGGCGCAGGCAGAGATATGGGCGGACCTGGCGCTGGGATGGGACCGGGGGGAACGGGGGGTATGGGGATGATGGGCATGGGACCCATGGGCGGAATGGGGAATATGGGAGGAACGGGGGGGATTGGGGGTGCGGGTTATGGGTTTGATCCGATGTACCCGCAAGGGTACGGTGGCGGAGGAGGAGGCGGAGATTCGTCGCGGAAGTGGGGAAAAGGGGAGGGATCCGCGGAAGGTAGCGCACAGGCGGGATCTGGACCTGGTATGGGAGGAATGGCCGGGCCTGGAGGTATGGGAGGGTCTGGGCCTGGTATGGGCCCTGGAGGTATGGGCTCAGGTATGGGTTTTGGCATGGATGGGGGCGCGCGGGGAGGGGGAGGCGGAGGGGGGTGGGGAATGGGGGGCATGGGGGGAATGTCAGGCATGGGAAACATGGGCATGGGCGGGAACATGGGCGGAGGCATGGGATTGGGAATGGGCGGAGCGGGCGGAATGGGGATGAACATGGGATTCGGTCCTGGCCCAGGGGGAATGGACGGGCCTGGCGGATGGGCAGGCGGAGGGGGAGGAAGAGGGGGAATGCCTGGCGGCATGGGCGGAGGGGGAGCGGGAGGCGGAGGGGGAGGTGGGGCCGGAATCGGGGCCGGCGCAGGTGGAGGTGCAGGGGCAGGGTCCGGCGGCGGCGGAGGAGGCGCTGGGATGGGCGGAGGCGGCCCAGAAACGGGTGGTATGCCACCACGAGCGCCGCACTCCGGGCCAGCGAACGGGCCTGTACGAGGGGGGATCTTTTATCGCACGAAGATGTGCGTGAAGTTCCGCAATGGCGTGTGTCCGTACGTTACCAACTGCAACTTCGCCCATACACAAGAGGAGCTGCGAAGGCCCATGCCCAGCTGGGGAGGGGATGATATGGCGGCGCGCAAGGGCGCGGGGGATGGCAGGGGGCCGGCACGGGGAGGTGACGGAGGAGGAGGAGGAGGAGGAGGAGGAGGAGGAGGAGGAGGAGGAGGAGGAGGAGGAGGAGGAGGAGGAGGAGGAGGAGGAGGGGGAGGATGCGGGGGCGGTGGTGCTGAAGGGAGTGCGGATGGAGTGAGACGGGATGGCCGACCACCAGAGGTGAGCTGTGAAACGCTTCTTTTCCTTTGTTTCTGTTTAGCAGATACAGATTTCCAGGCATAGGGTTGATGCTTTGGACTGATCTGCTCTTTCTGCACCTCCCACTGTCCTCCGGGTCACCAGCAGCAGCAGCAGCAGCAGCAGCAGCAGCAGCAGCAGCAGCAGCAGGCAGCGCAAGCGTCAGAGGCACAAGGGCCCGCCAGCAAGGCAACGACTGGCGCTGCTGGCGAAGGTGCTGGTGGGGCTGGTGGTGGCACTGCCAAGGGAGGGGCGCCAGGGGAAGGAGCAGGGGGAGGAACCGGGCCTGCAGGGGCGGACGCTCCTTCTGCATCAGCTGCTGCTGCTGACAGTGCTGGTGGGGGAGGGGGAGCGGGTGGGGGAGGGGGAGGGGGAGGGGGAGGGGGAGGGGGAGGGGGAGGAGGGAGTGTGGGCATGGGAGCGACGGGCAAGCCACCCAACTGGCGCACGCGCATGTGCCACCGGTGGGAGATGACTGGCAACTGCCCCTTCGGTGACAAGTGCCACTTCGCCCATGGGGTCCATGGTACGTGCTGCTGCCTTGCTGCTTGCTGCTGCTGCTGCCTTGCTGCCTCTCTCAAGTATGCCAATAGATTCACGAGTAGAGTGGCACGGGTGGTGCCTGATTCCAGGTTACGCAGTTTTGACTCAGGTCCTTCGTTGACCTACCCTGTCTTCTTTACATCATTCATAAACCCATCCTCCCTACACCAACCCCCACCTTCCACCCTCCTCTTCCCCACTCCACTCTCCTTCCCATCGCCTCTTCACTTGGACCTGTTTCCAATATTTGTTCCTGTCTCTCTCCTATGCCTCCCTCCTGCATCTCTCTCCCCAACCTGCGCATTCTCCCATGAGCAGAGCTGCAGAGGTACGGGGGCGGCCCCATAGACCCATCCATGCTGCCGCCGCCCTATGCCGACCAGTTCCACCGCATGGGGCCAGGCATGCCCCCCATGGGCGCCATGGGGGGCCCAATGGGCGCAATGGGGGGAGGCCCTGGGGGAGGCGTTCCCCCTGACTTCCCCCCGTATGGCCCCGGCGGTGGGCCTGCTGATGGGCCTGGTTTCCCTGGTTCTGCTGGGATGGGTGGGGGTGGGGTGGGAGCGGGGCCTTTTCTCCGGCCTCCTCCTATGGGGTTTGGTCCTGGGGTTGGGGCAATGGGGAGAGGAGGGCCCATGCCTGGCCAAGGTATGGGCTCGTTTGCTGATGGCAGGCATGGGATGGGAGGCGGTTTGGGTGGTGGTAGAGGGAGGGGGAGGGCGGAGGGTGGGAGAGGGTTGAGTGGTGGGGGGAGGATGGAGAAGGATGGGGTGAATTTGTTGTATGGGGACTGGGTTGAGGAGGATGAGTGGGCAGGGAAGGAAGGGGATGAGGAAGAGGGGGCAGAGGGAGAATTTGATGGTGGGAGGTTGTTGGAAGATGGGTGTGATGAGTTGTTTGCATGGGTGTGGCAAAAGGAAATGGAGCATAGCATTGAGAAGGAGAGTGGCTCCGACATCGACTTTGAAAGCCTTTTGCGGGAAGGAGGGCAATCACGATTTGTATCCATGCCTAGAAGGAAAGTCAAAGCCACTAAGACGGGTCATAATAGAATTGTTCCTTATATGCTGAAGTCTCCATGTACGTTCTAAAGAGATTTGTTGTTACGAGTGCAATTGAGTGAGCGAGCGAGGATTGCACTATCGAAGCAAGAGTACCGTAATCCCCCGGATAAAAGACCCTAGGGTCTTCTATTGATTTCAAAAAAAAAACGAGGGGGGTCTATATAAATGGTACAAAAATTATAAGACCCGGGTCTCAAGATATTGTATGTGTTTAGACAGATGTAATGAATTTCATTCATATAGGAAGTGATTGCTCCGTTAAAAAAATGCTCAATACCCAGGCGAATCGGTTTCAGCAGGAGGCAGGCATTATCAGACTAGAATCTGAATGTGGCATTCTGATTGGCCACATTCTTTGGGGCGTAGCGCTCGAGGGGGGGTCGATCGAAATGTACCACGTCCACCGCACCGTCTCAGGCCGCCTCGGTATTGCTACACCTTTTTTTTTCCCGAAGAATGTAAAAAATAAAAATAAAAAGGGGGGTCTTATAATGATTTCACCCCAAATGGGGGGTCTAACTAAAACAACCCATAATAAAAGACCCCCCCCCGTATTAAAGACCCGGGTACATTATTGAGGGGGGGTCTTTTATCCGGGGGATTACGGTACAATGAGCGAAGGCATGAGCGAAGAATATATAGCGAAATTACAGTGGTAACGGTAATGGACTGTGGTTGTCGCGCGACGGGCCTGGGACTGAGGTTGGGGAAAATGTCGAAGCGGAGGCCCGGAGCGCGGGTTACCCGCCGAGCCGTGAGGTCGGGGTGCGACGTGCGAAGGTGGCGGGAGGATTGTCGATGCGAGGGTTGCGAGTGGTAACGGTGCTGACTGTGGTGCTACAGTGGTGTACGCGCTGAGCGGGGACGCGAAGTAAGGAAAGGGAATTTTCCTTAGGGTACATTCCGCTATGGACACTGTCCCAATCGATGTGTCCCAATCACAATCTGCCCGAGTCGCCCTCAAATGTCTCGAGTCCGCATGTCCCAATCGACAGATGTATTGCGACTCTGCACAGACGCGCGATAATTATATGCGAACGACTGTGATTGGTCAGAGAATAAGCTGGCCCAGTCGTCCTTGCGCAGCACATACACCAACACCGCGAGGCCCGCGGTAGATCCGTGGTGTTGTCTGGGGAGGCCGCGGTGGGTACAGCAACCCTCCGCGCTGCCAATAATTGACTACGCAGCATGTACATCCGCAACACCCCTTCTCGTCCGTGAGTTTTTATAACCAAACAAAGCACAGACACCATTACTACACACGCATCAAGCACGCATGATGGCAGAGCCTAGAGCCATCCCCTTCATCCTACGCCTCCTCGTCGCCTGGGTCACCTGATACTACACCATTTTTTACGAAAATGTCGCGAAGTCCTTCGTAGGCCTGATAGATTCCGGTGTGCTCGAGGACGCGGACGAGCAGTCCTCATCGCTCGGGGACGACACCGGGGAGAACCGCCGTCACAGAGCGAGAGTATGGCGGCGACGTCATGCGTTGTGGGTTGAAGACCTGCAACACATGCGGGAGAGCGATTTCTATGACATTTTCAGGATAAACCGCGCCATACTTGAGCATGTCAAGACTGGGATGCGACAATATCTAGAGCCCATCGTCCATCGGTCGATAATCACAATGGACACTGCGCTGCTCATCCCAATAATGTACTTGGCGAGTGGAATATCATACGTCGACTTGTCGTACCTGTTCAGTGTCTCCAAGACACTCTGCCACGAGCTTGTCGACGTGTTCCTCACCGAGTTCCCCTCCGTCTTCAAGGCCGCCTGGGTGCGCTTCCCCACACACGATGAACTTCCCGAGATGGCGTGTGAATTTGCTGACATCAAAGGTATACCTACAGTGGTGGGGGCTGTGGATGGGACTCACATCCACATGAAAGGGATGGAAGGGCACAGAGCGGAGTACTGGACAAGAAAGTCGACCTACGTCGTTTCAACTACTGCCAGAGCGCCACACGCATGGCGGTGGAGAGGTGCATCGGCGCCTTCAAAGGGAGATGGCGCATCTTCGGCGGGCGCAACGACTGCAGGTTGTGGCGCATTCTCGCAGGGGCCGCGTGTTGTGTGATTCTGCACAACATGTGTGAAGAGATGGCAGACGTTAGGCGCAAGAACATGGCCTGGGCCAATCTGCCCCGCAACCGCGACCCTTGGTGGACACGGGGGGCCATTGCGACAGACAAGTGGGAACCGTGTGTCCCCCCAACACAACAGGCTCTGAGAGAGAGGCGGAAAAGACTGGGTGAGACCCTACAGGACTCTTACGCTAATCGTCGGCGCCGCGCACCCATATCTCCACATCCTCAGCACCCGGAGTGACGGTGTTGACGTCGCCAACATCGTCGCGCTGCAGGGCGGCTTCGGGAGGTGGCGCGGACTCCCCGCGTGGCGGAGGAGGGGTGAAATCTGGCGGCGCACGGTGCACGTCCGGGGGAGCCGATTCAGACATGCGCTCGCGGGCAAGGCGCATGTCCTGCGCCATCCATTCACGGACGAGGCTCTCAATGCACGTCATCGCGTCACCGTGACAATCCATGGCAGCTTGCATAGTAGCCGTCTCATGCACCCGGGCGCGCCTGGGTGTTGAAGTGGTCGGAGGCGGCGGAGCTGTGATAGAGGAGCAGGGAGAATATTAGGTTCGATTAGTCCGTGTACCGTTGTTTGATGTATCCTTCTTATTAGCTAATCACATTGTCGGCTTTGGAATATTCAAACTTCGATGAACTACCTGTGGATAAAGCACGTGGTAATAGAAGCACAACTCACCAGTAAAGGTTGGTGTTGACGTGCCTGGCTGAGACGAACTTGGAACCTCCATGCCGGCCGGCACGTCGACGTTAGTGGCGCCGCCGCCGTCCACCGCATGCGGTGCGGCTGCGGCGGTCTCCTGGTTGTGTAGCTCCAGGTACGGATACCACGGTGGTTTCTCCACCGAGCCGTTGCCCGACCCCCCGTCGCCCCGCTTGTACTCCCGCCAAAGGAGGATCAAGTTACGCCACTGCTTCTGCAACGCGCTGACACCCCTGCACCATCCTGGGTTCGACTCCTTGATGTGCGCGAGTAGTCGGACCCAGTATTGCGTCCCCTGCTTCCCCTCGAGAGGCTCGAGCTCTTCTTTGGTGAACCACTTCGCCGCGGCGAAGATGGTGCTCTCCTTGTCTGACCATAAGCCCCTCGCGACTGGTGCAGCCGACCGCTTCTTCCGTGGTTCCTTGCCTTTGCCTTTGTCAGTCCCAGATGCGCGTGCGGCGCCCCGTTTCGGCGGCTGTGCCACGGGTTGCGTTTCCTCCTCCGCGTCGTCCTCGGCATCGTCACCGTCGTCGTCGTCGTCGCTGGGCGACATCCCAAGGTCTTCCGGTTCTTCCACCTCGTCTTCTGTGCTTTGGCCTTTGTCGTGGTCGTCATCATCGATGTCGTCATCATCTTGCGCAACGACGGGCCGCACTGTTGCCGCCGTCCTTGCAGGCTCACGGCGCACACGTGACGGGGCCGCAGGGCGACTGTGCACTGGATCCCTGGCCGTCAAGCACGGGCGGCGTGGATAATCCTCTCGGATGGCGCCCGTTGGCGATCTGCTGGTTCATCCAGCGGATGTAAGGAATGTCGTTCAGATCCTTGGGGCAGTCGTTAAGGGCCTGGCCCTTACGCTTACGAGCCATGCTGGCGGCTTGAGTGTTTCTAGATCTAGATCTGAAGGGAGCGCATGCAGAGAGAAATGAACAGATTGGAACAGGAAAGATGGTGCACGAAGATGACCCCGTAAGGTGTTGGGAGAAGGAGTTGTGGGGGAGGAGCATTAGAACTGGGGGAAGGGGCGCTGGCGGGGACGTGCACGTCCCTGTCAATAATTCCGGGTGTGTCGTCTCGACCAATCACCACGCAGTGTGCACGCTGATGGGGATGGTGGGTTCTTTGAGATGTTGTATAGGTACATACTGCATGAGTTGACATTTGGCACCGCGTGCGACTGATGGAATGTGTTGCAATTAGCTGGCGACTGCTCCGTGTTTCACGTTGCCCAATGATAAATATATTTGGCGACAACCACGGGCGGCCCGGCATTCTGACACCTGGCGGCATATGCTGTACGTACGCGTCACAATCGATTCAGACACATTCTTTGGGACAGTGTCCACAGCGGAATGTACCCTTACATTACCCCCCCCCCCCTAAGGAGGTCCTTACGAAAGCGCGTGTACATCCCTGAAGTTTCGGCTGCGCAGATACTCAGTGAGGACGGGGTGGTTCTCGATTCTGTCCAGGGGAACCCAGTTGTCTTCGGTGGGTGTACGGTCTTTCCAGCGGATCAGGAACTCGATCTTTCGGGCTCCTCGAGGGTTACAAACTCTGTGGCTCAGAATTTTCTCGGGGGTGATGAGTGGTTCAGTCGGCGGTCGTGTCATGCTGGCTGGGCGATTACGTGGCATTTGGCTCGTGGACGGGACGTAAGGGCAAAGCAGGCTGACGTGGAATGAGGGGCTGACGTACCAGTCAGCGGGGAGGAGGAGGTGGGCGGTGACGGGCGTAATCATGTGGCTTATGCGAAATGGCCCGCAGTATCGGGGGCGGAGTTTTGGGGTGATGGGCAGTCGGAGGTTCTGAGTGTCGAGTAAAACTAGGTCGTCAGGTTGGTAAGTGACAGGTCGGCGGTGGCGGTCGGCATTACGTTTAGCGATGATGTTGGATTTTTTTATTGCGTCTGCTGCCCGGGTCCGTGCTGCTTGTAATATTTCGGCGAACTGTTGTGCTCGTGGCACTGGGTTGTCGGGATTCGGGGTCATGGGTACTGTCGGGTCTTGTCCGTAGTTCAGGTAAAATGGTGACTGTTGGGTCGTGGCAGACGGTGAGTTGCTGTATGCGAATTCAATGAGTGGCAGCTGTTGTTCCCAGGTGGCTGGGTCGTCGCACATGGCTCGGATGAGTTGCTCCATAGTCTGGTTTGTCCGTTCTGTCTGTCCGTCGGTTTCAGGGTGGTACGAAGAACTGAACTGTAGTCGCGTGCCGAACTGCTGCCACAGGTTCCGCCGGAAGTTGCTGGTGAATTTCGTGTCGCGGTCGCTGATGATCGCTGATGGTATCCCGTGCAGTCGAACGACGGAGGAGATGAAGAGTCGAGCTGTTTCTTCGGCTGTGATCGATTTTTGCAGGCTGCGAAGTGTGCCATTTTCGTCAGTCGATCGACGACGACCAGGATCGCGTCGTTCCCACTCGCCCCGGCCTGTAACCCCGTGACGAAGTCCATCGTCACCTGCTGCCAAGCACGCTCTGGGGGTGGTATCGGCTGCAACTGTCCTGCCGGCCGCTGCTGTGATGATTTCATGAGCTGGCAAGTGGGACACGATGCCACGTGTCGTTGTAAGTCGGTCAACATTTCGGGCCAGTAATAATACCGCTGCAGCTGCTGCCGTGTTTTCTCTACCCCGAAATGCCCTGAGGTAACTCTGTCGTGTGCCTCTTGTAATAGTAATTCCCGTAACAGTGTGTACCCTGGTACCCAGATGCGGTCGGTCCCGGCTTTTACGTAATAGACTCCTTTTGCTGCTGCAAACTGCTGCGAATTTCCTCCTGTGAAGAATGGATCCGTTTGGTACCCGTGGGTGAATAGGCCTGTCAGTAGTGGGCTTGTCTGGGCGAGTAGTATTGCATGGATCTGGGCAGTGGGGCGGGTCAGTGCGTTGGCGATGTTCGAGGCTCCCTTTTTGTAGGTGACCGTGTAGTGAAAGTTGGACTCGAGAAAGTCGAGCAAGCGAATCTGTTGTGGGTTGAGGTGTGGCTGTGCGCGGAGGTACTGTAGTGATTTATGGTCTGTCCGTACTGTCACGTCTGCGCCGGTCAAGTAACAGCGCCACACTTTGAACGCGTGCACGATCGCAAGCATTTCGCGGTCGTGTATCGGGTAATTTTTCTCGGGCGGATGCAGTTTTCGTGACTCGTATGCGATGGGTTGTAGGCCGTTGCCGAAGTCCTGTAGCAGTACGGCTCCGATGGCGATGTCGCTTGCATCGGTAACTACTTCGAATGGGCGGTGTGGGTCGGCGATACGCAGTACGGGCGGGGAACAGAGAACAGTTTTCAGGGCAGAGAAGGCAGCATGCTCTTTCTCCCCCCACGTAAAAGTGACCCCCTTCCGTAACAAGTCCATCAGCGGTGCAGTTAACCGTGCCATGTCGGGGACGAACCGACGCACATAATTGACGAACCCTAAAAAGCTCTGTAGTTCCGTGATATTCGTCGGGGGGTGCCAGGCTTTGACCGCGTCTAACTTCTTCGGGTCAATTTCGACCCCGGCCTCCGAAATAACGTGCCCCAAAAATTCTAGCCTGTCATGAAAAAACTCGCACTTTGAACCCTTGGTCAGTAGTCGGTGCCCGTCTACAATCTTAAACACTACTTCCAGATCCACTAAGTGCTACTGCTTGTCGCGACTGTAGACGAGGATGTCGTCGAGGTAAACTATCACGCATTTATCTAAAAGTGGCCTAAACGCCTCGTTCATGGTTATCTGAAATGTCGCTGGTGCGTTGGTCAACCCGAAAGGCATCACGGTGTACTCGAATGACCCGTACCTAGTCCGGAAAGCTGTTTTGGCGCCGTCCAATGGTTCGACCCTAATCTGATGGTAACCTCCCCGTAAATCTATTTTCGAAAAAACTCGTGCTGTTCGCAGTTGGTCGATCAGTTCGTCGGCGCGAGGAATGGGGTACCGTGACTTGACTGTTACCCTGTTGAGCGCTCGGTAATCGATGCACATGCGAAACCCTCCGTCTTTCTTTGGCGTGAACAGTATCGGTGCGGCGAACGGTGACGAGCTCGGTCGGATGAATTTCTTCTCTAACAAGTAATCTAACTGCTTCCTTAGTTCGTCGAGCTCGGGCTGTGTCAGTCTGAACTGTCGCTGTACAGTTGGCTGTGCCCCCGGTTCTTATTCTATTCGGTGGTCATGTGCTCGCTGAGGTGGCAGTCTTTCCGGTAAGTCGTCGGGAAAAATCCCGGGGTATCGTTTCAACAGTTCCTGTAGTTTAGGCGGTACTGCTGCCAGCAGTTTCTTGAAATCACTCGGCTGCTCTGCTCCTTCTACCACTGAAATGTCTACTGCGTACACGTCAGCTCCAGCAGCGACAGCCCGTTTCATGGTGACGGCGTTGACGTGTACCGTTGAAGACTCGGGCGACTGCCAGCGAGGTAGTTCAACCCAGTTACCGCTACTTCGCACGGTGCAGCTGCCCGTCGTCCAGTCAATTCGCGGGTTATACCGTCGCAGCCAATCACGACCCAGTAAAATGTCGTGCCCATCGAGTGTCGTCACGAGCATTTCCTGTGTAAAGCCGAAATTTCCCCCGCAGCGGACTTTGACTCTCTCCACCTTTTCCCGTATGGCCAGTGGCGTGCCGTCAACTAATCGTGCATCTATCTCAGGTAAGCAACGGCTAAGTGTCAGTTGCAATCTGCGTGCGGTCGCGGTATTAACTAAACTGTGACTTGCTCCTCCGTCGATAAAAATCTTCACTGCTGCTCCCTGTATTTTCCCGTGGATCAGTACTGGGCAATCCGTCGCTGTACCCTTCTTATTCGTCCGAGCCCGATCGATAGCATAAATCGGTACTGTGACTCGGTGAGGGTCGGTGGGGTTGGGCGAGCAGGCAGTCTCGTCAGTAGTTGGCCCGATTCCTACTGACTGCTGGCGTTTCCCTACCTTGGAGACTCCCTCCCCTGCTCTGCTCTGCGGCGCCTCAGCTCCTCTGGGCATTCACTCTTGCGATGGCCTCGCCTATTGCAAGCAAAGCAGCGCCCCTTAAACGGCGCGGCAGCTGCATTCGTCGCAACGGCATGTACGATGGCGTGCTCGATCGGTCCCCGAGGACGATGTCCGTAGTAGGACCCCGGTCTCGGACGGCGCAAAATGTCGATTTTCTCGGCGAGCGCGAGGATCTCGTTGAAGTTCGAGAGCCCGCGTAGCATGATCTCGTGCGAGATGTCCGGCTTCAGCCCTCCGACGTAACGGTCCACCCGCTCCGCTTCGTGCATGTAGCCGACTTGTTCGCATAATGCGAGAAAACCACTCGTATAGTCTTGAACTGACCCAAGTTGCCGCCAAATACGCAGTCTCTGACGCGCCGAAATAGAAGCCGCGATCGGCTCGAAGCGCGCCCGAAGCCCTGCGCACCATGCATCCCACGTGCTGTATTGGGCGGTTTCGCAGAATGAACTCCAAGTGACATATGGACCCGTGGGCCCTTCCTCTTGCGACGGTGGCTCGTAGGCGCGTGGCGACGTCACGATGACTCGCCACCAGTCCATGGCGGGGCCCCTCAGCAGCGAGACGGCACATCGGATCTTCGCTGCGTCCGACTCGACGTAATTCGCGTCGAAGAAGACGTTCATCGTGAAGACCCACGACTGAACCGTCGGACCTCCACGTTGGCTTGGGTCAAAGCAGGGCGGGCGTTGCGGCTTGAGTGGCATTGGTGTCATAATGGCCTGTTCGCCACTTGTCGCCGCGAACTCCACGTGCCGACGGGCTTCACGAGGCTCCCGCGGGCTTGGTGCGACCCTGTTTCCTCCCATGCCAGGCATCGGCTGGGCGGCGCCATCACTGGCTGCACCTGAGCGCTGTCCCACGCTGTCGTGTTGTGTTGGTGTGCCGGACGAAATGACGATCGGCTCGTCCGATTGTGCAGATGCATTTGTCGGTGCGTGTGGTGGCGTTGGAGTATTCACCGTGGATTACTGACGCGCGGAGTCACGTTCCGCCGTGAGCGTCGCAATTTCGAGCGCCGATTCTTCAACTTGGCGCACCAGACGGTCAAGCTGCTCCTGCGTCAACATCGCGAGCGTGAATTCGGCCATGGCGGGGGTGTCGGGCAAGCTCAGCGAGAGCCTCAGTCGTGGCCGTGCGTGCTTATGAGAGAGCACTACGAGCGGCGGTGCTGTGTCGCTGAGAGACGTCTACCCCCCCCCAAAAATTGAGATATTGGGGAAGCGAAGGTGTGGGTGCGGTCCGAGAAGAGATCGTAGGCTCTGATACCAAGTGTTACGAGTGCAATTGAGTGAGCGAGCGAGGATTGCACTATCGAAGCAAGAGTACAATGAGCGAAGGCATGAGCGAAGAATATACAGCGAAATTACAGTGGTAACGGTAATGGACTGTGGTTGTCGTGCGACGGGCCTGGGACCGAGCGGGGACGCGAAGTAAGGAAAAGGATTTTTCCTTGCATTTGTACACCTTTTGCTGAGTTGGCTGGCTATTGGCTGGCTATTGGCTGGCTATTGGCTGCTTGTTCTGGTTCGGTTCCTTACCAAGTCTCGTAAGTTTTTCATCGAGGCCCTTGAAGCTGTTAGTTGCGGTTCACAGGTTTTCCATCTTGACGAAAGCCACGATACGCCGCTTCGGATGTCATTACCTGGTGGTTTGGTCTGGAAACTTTTACTGATGCCTGTCTGCCTCCATATCTCCCAGGGCCTAAATGCTGGGAAAGTCCCACACAAAAATCACAAGCAGCTCACCCCACCTCAGCCCATCCCATACCACCTCACTCCACCCGGTCCCATTCCAAGCAAGTTTGGCCTTTTCTCCAATCTGAGTCCTGAAAAGCAGCACCGGACCCACCACCACCACAACCGTCCTGCCCACCTTATCCAGCTGGACTCAACATCCCTGATTCCCTGAACCACCACCTGTTACTTGTAGCAGCTTTCTCCTCAACTATGCCAGTCATAGGTTTTACTACGTTGCGTTGCAACGAAGCCAGTCAACAGCACTCACTCAGTCTTCTCCCAACCACCACGCCCTGCTCTAACTACGCCTTGTGAACAAAGTGACGAGACTGCGCCTTGCCTGTGCGCGGACTATAGGACACCTGCAAAGAGTATCTAAAAGAAGTAACGCCTACGCTGTTACTTATTCTGAGAACGATATTCTGTGCCTCCGGCTGCTTCTGCGTGTTTCCGTTTTTCTCTGCGTCCAGACTCGTCAGGTTTATCCGGAGCGTCATTTTCTTTAGTCCCCTAATTTAAACTTTGCAAATTATGGACGTCGACGCGGATGGCGAGCAGCCAAGAATAGCTCCCACGTATACTCCCTGCCCGTTTAATGGCGAGTCGCCGGGCCCTAGATGCGGTCATACGCTTACAGCCGTTGCTGCGGTGGGAGAGCCAGGAAGCGCCAACTACGTGGGTCCTAGACTGATTCTCTTCGGTGGAGCCACGGCTCTGGAAGGCGGAGCTGGTGCCACTGCAGGTGGCGCTGCAGGCATTCGTAAGGCTCGGCACCTAGCAACCTCGATGCATCGCTTTCTTAGCCATGCTAGGTCATCTGATGTCGTGTCAAGTCGCGTCATTTCGTCGTACCTGGCATTGTCATCACGGCAATCCGTTCTCTCGCTATCGCTGTGAGCATCCACCATCTCCTCTGATGCATTTAAAACTCTTAATTTCTATGCATCTCAGGTTGTTTAAAGGACATAATTTTAACCCCCACTTTCCAAGCTCACCTTTTTAAGCTCGCATTGTCGTCGCACACAGGTCTGGCGGGAGCAACTGCGGACGTTCACTGCTTCGACGTGAAATCCAGAACATGGAGCAAGTACGTGAATGTCTGGTTTCTTACCATGCTGGAAAAGAATCATATACAATTTTTTTATTTTAGTCTCGCTTACCAAGATCTTATCACCACTCTCCTCTTCTAGTGTAAGGCAGGCGTTGTCGTAAGGTTAATCGGTAGTGGTATTACGATTTGAATTCCCATGGCGGACTTTCAACCGTTACCGTCAGTAATGTGCACCACGTGCATTGCGTTACGCGCCTCATGCAGAAGCATTCCCGTGTCGTCTCGCTTTCAGAATGTCGCCAGTCGGCGAGCCTCCGTCGCCTCGAGCAGCGCACGCGGCGACGGCAGTGGGGACCATGATCGTCATTCAGGTGCGTTCTCATCACTGCTCGACATTACCGCGCGAACCATCGGTTGTTCCTGATTTCGCGTCCGTTTACCCTCATTTCTAGCGCAAGCTGTTGCGCGAAAGGCTATCGAATTGTGTTCAGGAGTGGAAGCTTTTCGTTTTCGTCGTTCGACTTCTTCGCCAGTCCGTTTCTCTAAATTTCGCTGAACGCGTGTTGGCAGGGTGGCATTGGACCCGCGGGCCTGGCAACGGACGACCTGCACGTCCTCGACCTCACACAAGCGCGCCCCAAATGGCACAGGTAACGCGGAAACGGTGCCTTCCATATCGCTACGACCTTTTGCGTCTCCCGCGCATTGTGAATCAACAGCCTCAACCTCTTACTTCGTTAACTGCCCCTGACTCTCACCGCCTGCATCCCTCTCCCCTGCTATTTCCTCCCTTCCCTTCCCTTCCCCCCGCCTTGCGCGATCAGAGTGGTGGTGCAGGGCGCGGGACCAGGGCCTCGCTACGGCCACGTGATGGCGCTCGTGGGGCAGCGCTTCCTGCTCTCCATCAGCGGCAACGACGGTGAGCGCCACGTGGCCAGCGAACGAGCGAATGAGCGAATGAGTTAGCGAGCGAGAGATCTTTATTTAAAATTTAATTTCACGCGTTTGACTACCCAGAACCCTGTCCTTTCTCCACCCGAACACCTCTTCGCACCTTTTGGATACATTCTCAGTCCAGCTACACCACGCTCACCTCAGTCACTGAAGCCCAGTGCATGTAATTCTCCCCCGCTTCCTCCATCCCCCTTTCCACACCACTCCCACTCCCTCTCCCTCCCCCTCCTTCCTCTCCCTTTCCCCCTTCCTCCCGCCTTCAGGCAAGTGTCCGTTGGCGGACGCGTGGACGCTGGACACAGCCGCATGCGATTGAGAATGCTAAGAAGCACCATCTAATCTATCTCATCCATCTTACGTTATGTACTCCCCTCCCCGCTTCCCCCCCCGCGGGCAGGCAAGCGGCCGTTGGCGGACGTGTGGACGCTGGACACGGCGGCGAAGCCGTACGAGTGGAAGAAGCTGGAGCCTGACGGCGAGGGGCCGCCGCCCTGCATGTACGCCACCGCCAGCTCGCGCCACGACGGACTGCTGCTGCTCTGCGGCGGGCGCGACGGGAGCAGCGTGGTGAGCCTCCTCTCCTCGTGCTGCGCTGTACCACGCCGCTCATGCCATGCATGCCCTGCACTGCCATGCAACCTGCACTCTTCCCGTATGGTCCAATTCCCCTGTGCAGTTGCTTGTTTTGATTCTTTCAGTAAGTACCTTGTCCATAAATTCCCGTTTGCCCTCTTCCCTCGTTATCCCTCCCCCCTCCCCCCCCCCCACCCCCCTCCTCGCAGCCCCTGCCAGGCGCGTATGGTTTGGCGCGGCACAGAGATGGGCGGTGGGAGTGGGCCATCGCCCCTGGCGTGTCTCCCTCTGCGCGCTACCAGCACGCTGCTGTAAGCCCCTCCCATCACACATGCGCCTGTCCGTCCAAAGTTCAGTTTCTGGTCGAGTAGTACCACCAGTAGGTTGGTTGTCGTGCTTCTGTCTTGATAACCAGCTTGCACCAGTAAGCCACTCATGCGCCTTACTCTCCCTCTCTTTTCCCCCGTCCCCACCTCCCCCCCCCCCCCCCCCCCCCCCCCCTTCTCCCTAACCCCTCCACCGTGTGCGCGCAGGTGTTTGTGAACCTGCGCCTGCACGTGTCGGGTGGAGCCCTGGGGGGCGGCCGCATGGTGGAGGATGCGTCCAGTGTGGCGGGTGAGTGCGGTGCAGCCTCCTGTAGTTCAACTCAACTGACGCACAGAATGTACCAGAATGTAGTGCAACTCAACTTAACTGCGTGCACAGCCCACCTCCCCCTATTGTCTGCAAACAAACATTCTGTGTGGTGGTTGGTGAGTGGGGGAGGATGCGTCTGGTGTGGCGGGTGAGTGGGGGAGGATGCGTCTGGTGTGGCGGGTGAGTGGGGGAGGATGCGTCTGGTGTGGTTGGTGAGTGGGGGAGGATGCGTCCAGTGACCGTACCTGCCGTCACTTTTTGCAACCATGGAATGTTTGCACCCACTGAACAGGGGAGGTGTGTGCCCGGTGACCATGCGGTGGCACCAACAAGCCAAGAGCTTCGATGGCTGTTAATCGTTGCCGCGTACGCCTTCCTTTCTTATTCTGTCCTCGTCCCCCCTTGTCCCCCTCCCCCATTGCAGTGTTGGACACGGCAGCGAGTGTGTGGGGCGACTGCAAGGGCACGGTTGTGGTGGCGAGGACGGGCTAACAGCGTGTGTCCTCTCCTCCCTTCTCACCTCACCCTCTCACCTCCACCTTCTACCCTCCGCAGTGTTGGACACGGCAGCGGGAGTGTGGTGTGACCGCAAGGGCACGGTGGCCGTGGCGAGGACGGGGCGATTCAGTGCGGACGCGCCTGGGGGCGACGCCAGCACCGAGCTCACCCGCCGCTGCCGCCACGCCGCTGCTGCCGTTGCCAACTCAATCTTTATCTATGGGGGTCTCCGAGGGGGTGAGCGAGGGGATGGGGGGAAACATGGGGCCGAGGGGAATGGTGGAGGGATGGAGTGAGGGAGGGGGAATGTATGAGGGCTGGAATGAGGGGGAGAATGTAGGAGGGGGGGGGTGAGTGGAAGAGAACAATACTCGAGGACCATATGCTCACACTGTTCACTCTCTGCCCCCCACGCACACCACCCGCCCCTCCCCCACGATGTTGACCATATACCCATCCTCCTGGACGATCTGTTGATTGCGGACGACTCGCCAATGGAGCCACCTCCTCTGCCATTTCCACTCTCTCATTGTCAACCCCCCACCGGACCGATTCCTGCTTCCCCTCCCCTTCGTCTTCCCCCGCTAACCACTCGCCCCCACTCTTCCCCCCTCCGCGCACACACCAGGCATTCTTCTGGACGATCTGCTGATCGCCGATGACTCACCACCGGAGCCGCCTCCTCTGCCTGCCACGTCCGCCAAGGCGGAGGGCGTGGGCAACCGCAGGCCGCCCGTGGCCCCCCGCAAGGCGCGCGGGGACGCTGCCGCTGCCTCCGCCGCTGGCAGGGACGCTGACGGCGGGGCGCATGCTCGCGACCACCTGACCAGGTGCGTGGTGGGGCTGGCTGGGACTAGAGGTGATTCTTTTGACGACTATAGAATCACTTCTGGGGAGGCTGCTGGCAGGGAGGCTGATGGCGGGGCAGCTCATGCTCGCGACCACCTCACCAGGTGCGTGCTTTGGCATCGAGCAAGTGCGTGGATTTGTTGTTGTCTTCCATCTCTACGCCCTTGCTCGATGCCCTCGTCTGCTTCCTATTCCTCTCCTCTTCCTCCCCCCGCCCCACCCTCCCCTTCCCCCGCTTCCCCACGTTCGCCTCCATGTTCCCCCCATCCCCCTCCCCCCCACACGACATCCCCAGTGCCGAGGAGGGCGCGGATGGCCTGCTCTTCAACGGCAAGGGGGCCGTGCCAGGGAGGGGCGCTTATTGTCAACTCAAATGTCTCCCCCATGTTCTACCCCGCATTTTCCCGCCAACCCTCCCCTCCCCCGCCTCTCCTTTTTTCTCCCGACCCCCCACCCCCTCCTCTTTTCGTCCGATCCACCCAGTGGTGAGGAGGGCGCGGATGGGCTGTCCTTCAACGGCAGGGGGGGCGTGCCAGGAAGGGGCGGGGCGGGGGGCAGCGACGAGGAGGAGGAGGAGGAAGACGAGGAGGGGGATGCGGACGACAGCAGCAGCGACGGGCTCCACCCCAGCACGTCCAGCCTCACCAGTCACAGCGACGACGGCAGGAGTGACACTCCTGACTTCAAGGGCGGCGTGCGCCTGCACCACCGCGCTGTAAGTGCTGCCAGCGGGCTAGCCCTCTACTCTATCCGTCCACCCCACTTGCATCCATCTGAGCACGTCCAGCCTCACCAGCCACAGCGATGACGAGAGGAGTGACACTCCTGACTTCAAGGGTGGTGTGCGCCTGCATCACCGCGCTGTAAGTGCTGCCAGCCCCCGCTAGCCCTCTGCTCTCCTTTCCTTCCCTTTCCTTCCCCAACCCCAACCCCTTCCCAACCCCCCCATTTCAATGCACCCTTTTCCTCTTCCCCCCTTTCACCCACACCTCCCCACTCCTTTTTCCGCTGTCTGCTTGTCTGTGCAGCTTTACTTTTTCCTCGCAGTTTTCATTTCCATTGGTGTGTCAACGTATGTCTCTCTCTCCAATTCCCGCTACCCTTCCCCCTCCCGTCTCCCGCTTCCCCCCCCCCATTTGTCATCTACCCTTGTCCCTCTCTCCCTCTTCCTCCCTCAGGTGGTGGTATCAGCGGACCCAGGAGGCAACAACCTAGGGGGCTTGGTGAGGCAGCTGTCCATCGAGCACTTTGAGAACGAGGGCCGCCGCATCAGCTACAGCCCCGATGGTGTGCAGGCTCACCGGCGCCTGCTCGACAGGCAGATGTCCATCCAGGGCGTTCACAAGAAGGTGTGTGTGGAGTGAGAGAGGCGGGAGTGGGGGGGAAGAGAAGAGGGGGGGAGGGGGGTAGAGTAGGCAGGAGGCTGCTGGCTTGTGCGGGTCCAAGTAAGCAGGACCCCCAGATGTCCATCCAAGGCGTGCATAACAAGGTGGGAAGCAGGCCAGGGGAAAAGGGTGGTGGGACAGGGGCGCAGGAGAGGGGAGGGAAAAAAAGGTATACAGGGGTATTTGCAGATTATGACGTTCACTCGCGAACATGAGATGTCAAATCGTTCACTCACAGACACAAACACCACATCCTCCACTTCACCCTCCCCCCGTCTGTCCCTGGCTGGCCGCAGGTGCTGCAAACGCTGTTGAAGCCGAGGGGGTGGAAGCCGCCGGTGAGTCGGCAGTTCTTTCTGGACGTGCACGGCGTTGTGGAGCTCTGTGACCTCGCTGAGACACACTTCAAGAACGAGCCCTCCGTGCTGCAGGTGAGAAAGGGTAACAAAGGTTATGGAAAAATCAATGTGCTGCAGGTGAGACGAGCCCTCCGTGCTGCAGGTGAGAAAGGGTAACAAAGGTTATGGAAAAATCAATGTGCTGCAGGTGAGACGAGCCCTCTGTGCTGCAGGTGAGACGAGCCCTCTGTGCTGCAGGTGCTGCAGAGACGAACGAGCCCTCCCTGTTGCCCCTTGCGTTGACCCCTTCCTTTGTGCTGTAGTTAATGCTGTTGCCTATTGTCTTTCTCACCTCCCCCCTGCGTGCATCCACCAGGTGCGGGCGCCGGTGAAGATCTTTGGCGACCTGCACGGGCAGTTTGGCGACCTCATGCGCCTCTTTGACGAATACGGCTCACCCTCCACAGCCGGCGACATCGCGTGAGTGCTGTGCAGGGCCCCCCTCTCGTCCCTTCCCTCTCTGAACCTGGTTGGTTGCATTGCACCTGGTGGTGCAGGCATGTGGCAGTGCAGGGACGTGTGTAGACACAGTACAGTGTGCACACTCACCCTGCCAGGCCCACCGCATGCGCCTCGTTGACGAGTACGGCTCGCCCCCCACCGCCGGCGACATCACGTGAGTGCCTGAACAGAACACAGTGCCACTGGTGCTGCAGGGATGTGGTACTGCAGGGATGTGGTGCTGCAGGGATGTGGTACTGCAAGGATGTGGTGCTGCAGGGATGTGGTGCTGCAGGGATGTGGTGCTGCAGGGATGTGGTGCTGCAAGGATGTGACCATGTGGGTGGGCCATTCGGGCTGGCCGTTTGGGCAGGGGCCAGCGCTGTGCCTCTGCCTTTCTCGTTTATCTCCCCCCGTTCCCCCATCCCCCTCCTCCCGCTTTTCTCCCACCCCTTGCCAGGTACACAGACTACCTGATCCTGGGCGGCTATGTGGACGGGCCAGCACAGCAACATGCCTCTGCCTTCCCTGTTTCACTCCCTCACTACCCTAATCTTCCCCGGTTCCCCCCCTTCCACCCCATCCCCCCACCAGGTAGATCGACTACCTGTTCCTGGGCGACTATGTGGACAGGGGGCAGCACAGCACCGTGCCTCTGCCTTCCTCATTTCACTCCCCCGTTCCACCCTCCCCCTCCCCCCCCCCCCACCCCCCCATCCCCCCACCAGGTACATCGACTACCTGTTCCTGGGCGATTGCGTGGACAGAGGGCATTGCAGTGCCTACACTCTCTGCTGTTCAATCCCTCACTGCCCTTATCTCCTTTGCGCGCCTGTCTCTGCCTTCCCCCATCCCCCCCCCACCAGGTACATCGACTACCTGTTCCTGGGCGACTACGTGGACAGGGGGCAGCACAGCCTGGAGACAATCATCCTGCTGCTCGCGCTTAAGGTGATGCCGGGAACACCCACCGCTGCCTTGCTCTCCTTCTAGGATACGTGCATCGGTTGGGGATGGATGGGTGCATGGATGGGGGATGGGTGCATGGATGGGGGATGGCTGCATGGATGGGGGATGGGTGCATGGATGGGGGATGGCTGCATGGACGGGGGATGGCTGCATGGATGGGGGATGGCTGCATGGATGGGGGATGGCTGCATGGATGGGGGATGGCATACATGGATGTAGGTTGCAGGGTTTCTACTGTTTACCCCCTTTATGCTCTGTTTGCTAGTACTCAATCCTGATTTTTTTACGCCGCATCTCCTCTCGAACTGCCATTCTTCCTCTTTTTCCGCCCCACCCTACATTGATTACACGTGCAACATGCATCTGTTTCTTATACACTGCATCTACTCCTCTCACGCTTCCCTTGCTTCCATTCCCTTGCCTCCACCCAGATCGAGTGCCCGTGCAATGTGCATCTCATTCTTGTACACTGCATTATCTCCCCCCTCACACTTCCCTTTCTTCCCCTCCCTCGCCTCCCTTGCACCCAGATTGAGTTCCCGCGCAACGTGCATCTGATTCGAGGCAACCACGAGGCGGCGGACATCAATGCTCTCTTTGGCTTCCGAATGGAGTGCATCGAACGCATGGTGGGTTCAATGCGGTTCAGTGAGATTAAGATCAAGGTGGGTGGTGCGATTCATGTCAGCGTGTTGGATGCATGGCTGGTGTAACCTGTGCCAAGATTGTGCACGGTAAACTGACTGCGTCCATCCTATTGCTCGTGTGCTTGGCTTGTGCCCCATGTCCTGTTGATTGACCTATACAATCATTTCCTTCTCATTCATTGGGTTCCACACTCCCACCACCACCACCACCCCAAACCTCTGGAGGGCGAGGAGGGCGGCATGTGGGCGTGGCACCGCATCAACCAGCTCTTTTTACTGGCATCCCTTGGCGGCACTGGTCAAGCATTCACTAGAGCATTCAATTTGTCCCATTGCTTCTCCCCATACTTCCCCCACCAGACCCCATCCCACCCCAAACCACCACACCTAACCCATCCTCCCCCCACCACTCCAACCCCTGCTGTAGGGCGAGGAGGGGGGCATTTGGGCTTGGCACCGCATCAACCAGCTCTTCAACTGGCTGCCCCTCGCTGCCCTGATCGAGCATTCACCATAGCATTCATTCTCCCGCATTGCGTCTCTCCATACTCTCCCACCCGACCCCACACCCTCCCATCCTACTCCACCCCAACCCAACCCACCCCAAACCCCTGCAGGGCGAGGAGGGCGGCATATGGGCGTGGCACCGCATCAACCAGCTGTTCAACTGGCTACCCCTGGCAGCACTCATAGAGCACAAGATCCTGTGCATGCATGGGGGCATCGGGCGCTCCATCCAGCACGTGTCTCAGATCGAGGAGCTCAAGCGCCCCATCACCATGGAGGCTGGATCGATGGTCCTTATGGATCTTCTCTGGTGCGTTGGGGGATCATGTGCTGTGTGGGGCTCTGTGGGGGACGTGCTGTGGTGAGTCACTGTGTCTGGGTCAATGGTTCTCATGGACCTGCTGTGGTGCGTGCTTGTGGCCTTACATGCAGTATTAGTACCCACTTCCCGCACACGCATAATCACTTCCACATGCTCCAATGCTCCAATGCTCCATCATCCGACACACACGTGAGAGCTTCATGGAGGCCGGTTCCGTGGTGCTTGGTGCTTGTGGACCCGCTTCAATGGAGCTCCATTCTCACTCTCTCGGTTGCTCCTTGTGGGCCGACAATCGTGAATACCGTACTCGCTCTCTCCCACACACACACTCTCCTCTACACACACTCGGTCACTCGCTCACTCCGACACACGCGCCTCACTCATGCCTTGCCTGGCAGGTCGGATCCCACGGAGAACGACAGCATAGAGGGCCTGCAACCCAACGCCAGAGGACGTGAATAATCACTCACACATGCCCCGCACAGACGAATCTTCTCTCATTCGGACACATGCTCTCACCCCTCTTGACCCGCAGGTCGGATCCCACGGAGAACGACAGCATAGAGGGCCTGCAACCCAACGCCAGAGGACCAGGCCTCGTCACATTCGGAGTGAGCCCCTCTGCCTCTCTGCCAGTCTCTCTCCTTCACCCCTCTCTTCCTACACCTCTCTCCCTTGATCCCCTGTCTCACTTGCACTCAACCCATCTTCCTGTCACCCTGTCTCATCCTTTCTCCCTCTCCCCTGTTGGCCATCCTGACAGACTGACTCAGTATTTTTACATCCTCCCACATCCCCTCTTCCCCCTTCTCATCCCCTCTCCCCGCCCTTTCCCCTCCCCTCTCTCTTACCCTCCTCCCTCCACTCTTCTATCCCCCCTCCCCTCCAGCCCGACCGAGTGATGGAGTTCTGTCACACCAACGACCTGCAGCTCATCATTCGCGCGCACGAGTGTGTCATGGACGGCTTTGAGCGCTTCGCAGGGGGGCACCTCATCACGCTCTTCTCCGCCACCAACTACTGCGGTGAGTGGGGGTGGGAATGCTGCAGGGGATGTTAATGAAGTGTGTTTTGTTGCAAGTGCCAAACACACTCCGCAGGGGGCCACCTCATCACGCTCTTCTCTGCCACCAACTACTGCGGTGAGTGGGGGTGCCTGTCATGGGTGGAAGAACAGGTCCGTTCCTCAGCCTCAAGGCTCCTCATCACAGCAGGAGGCCACCTCATCGCCCTCTTCTCCGCCACCAGCTACTGAGGCCAGTGCTGTTGGGGTGGTGCTGAGGTGAATGGTGCTGCCTGTCATTAGGTTTCTTTCTCAGCCTTAAAGCACCTCATCACGCACTTCTCCGCCACCAACTACTGCGGTCAGTGGCGCTGCTTTGGGTGGTGCTTGTGTGAGCGGTGCTGCTGTGGTTGGTTCTGGGGTGAGTGGTGTGGCGATGAGTGCTGTTGGGGTGAGTGCTGCCACATCTCTGTTTCACAGGCGGCCACCTCATCACACTCTTCTCCGCCACCAACTACTGCGGTCAGTGCTGCTGTGATCTTTTTGTTCCCTCTTTCAAGTCCCGTGGTTTTCTCATTCTATAGCATGACATGTAATACTATCTGGACCTGGCCCTCCTCCCTTCTCTCGCACTATCACCTGGCATGGACTGTGCAGGCACGGCCAACAACGCTGGCGCCATCCTGGTGCTGGGGAGGGACCTCGTCGTCTTCCCCAAGATGATCCACCCGCTGCCGCCCACCGGCAACCCAGCCAACTCGTCTGATGACCAGGATGACACGTGGATGCAGGTGAGTGGCTTGTGCTTCCAACACCCGACTCCCTACACCTCCCGTGTTTGTTACCTCCACATCAAGCATGCATGTCATGACAATACCCACCAACCCGGCCAACTCGTCTGATGACCAGGATGACATGTGGATGGCAGCGAGTGGCTTTTGTGCTTCTCACAACTTCCTGCCTTTTGTTTTCACTGACATGTTCCCACCCTCGCCCCTGGGATGCCCTCCCACCCATTCCCTTTCTTTCAGGAATCAACTCTGTCTAACTGGATTCATTCTTTTGCCCTGCTCTAACTGCTACGTTTATCCCATGCCTCATATTGTGCCGCTCGTGCTGTTTACACTACGAGCTTTCCGTCAATGGCTGTAACCTTCCTCCCCCTTCTCCCTCCCTTTTCTCCCCCTTCTTCCCCCTTTTTCCTCCCCTTTTCTCCCCCCCTTCTCCCCTTTCCTCCCCCGCTTCTCTCCTCTTTTCCTCCCCTTCTCCCCCCTTATCCCCCCATCCCGGCCCCCCTTTTCACACCATCCCATCCCTCCCTGTCACCGTGTGTGATGCCACCAGGAGCTCAACTCACAACGGCCACCCACGCCAACAAGGGGCCGCCCGCAACCAGGCAACGACCGCAACTCCCTCGCCTTTATTTAGTCCCCTTCAACCTGCCAGCCTGTGTCTTGCCCACACTCTGTAGGCCTTTCCTCCTCTCAGCCCTTTCACCTTTTCATCTTTCGAAGCAATTCCTTCCACCCAATGCTTCCATTCCATTCCGATATTGCGTTCTCAGCTTCAATGGGATGTGTCAACAGTGCTGATGTGCAACAGAGTGTCAAAAAGAACATTGATGTGCCACCAGCATTCGTGCTGCACACACACACAGCCCTCACTTGCATCTAGCGTCTCTTGCGGAACCTGCTGCTGCCATCACTCACGCACGCATTCTTCCAACTGTCCGCCCTTTCCTTCCTCTGTTTTATCCCCTCTGCCTTTTCTTGACCTGCATTTTTCCACCCGCCCACACAGCCACCTTGAAAGCTGACCGTTCCTCCCGGCCTTAGCCGTGCTACTGGATTGCATAACACATTGCTCCTTGTTTTGCCTCCTGTAAAATGCTCCATTTATTGCACCACTCTGCCACTGCCACAGCACAGTGCTTCTGTAGGATACTGTGTTTGAGTCAAGTGTACTTGCTTAACCTCTCCCCATTCTTCACTCTGGGTCATCTTGATTGGTGTATAGCCACACCCACCCAAGGCCACGCTATGGTAACACTGTCTTTGGCGCTGATAATTTTTCCTCACAATCATAAGCCAACCAATTTCAGCTTTTCTGGTCTGACCTGAGACGGATTCTGCCAGATGTCAGACATGCTCAGCTGCATGCAGTTACAATAGCCAAGCATGCGATGCATGGTTTGGGAAACTAGCCCGACCCCACCATATTCAACGCCATTCCCTCTGCCTGATGGTGGCCACTGGGCCGGCCACAGCTTAAAGCTCGCGTCTCATATTTCCAACCGTTTAACACTTGGTTGGGTTTGCTTGACTGTTGTTGGAAACAATCGGTCTTAAAACCAGGGTGCACATTCAACGCGGTTCGGCTTGAGATGTTGGGAAGGGGGTTTGGAGAAAAACAGTGATTGGCTCACGAGGGGCGACAAAAAAATGATTCCGCTAGAGCTTCGGGCATTTCGTAGGTGGCGGGAGGGGGTGAAATGGCGGGAGTGGGTGAAACCGAATGGCGGGAGGGATGAAACAGATTGGCGGGAGGGGGGGGAATCGAAATTGCGGGGGAGGGGGGAAACAAAATTGCGGGGGAGGGGGGAAACGAATTTCGACGGGGAGGGGGAAATGAAATTGCGGGGGCGTGGGGAAACGAAATTGCGGGGGAGGGGGGAAACGAATTTCGACTTGAAGGGGTTGAAAGCACACCTCGTAACCCACTCAGTCAAGGGATAACCTTTGATGCACATTCAGCTGAATGTGCACCCCGGTTTTAAGCGCCTCTGTCGTGTCGAAACACTAAGGCATAAATGAGGCAGAGCATATCGAAGCACCGGCGAGTCAACCCTCGGAGGTTGAAGTAACCGCTGGAGGTTACGTCAAGTCAAAGGTCAGCGACCTTTGACCTGACGAATACAGCGTGACAGCAAGGACACACAACTGACTCGCTACAGAGCAGTTGCCCGAGTCGTCACTGTATCGAACCGCAACAGCAACAGTAAAGTAGTTACAACCGTACCTTTTCGTATTCCTTGCACTCTTATATATATTCTTGTATCTCTTTGTTTTAATCAACTCACTTTGCCCTCACATACTAGCGCAAGGTGGTTCACAACCCTTTATTTAACGCTTCCGCTACTACACCAACTCTACCCAGAGTTCACCCCTGCAAAGATCCTAAGGGCTATTTTCTCAGCCCAACATGGTATGAGAGCTATCAGGGGGAATTCAACTTCTATACCGTTAACATCAACAGGCATGGCTACACAAAAGGATAGGAGCAACTCCAACGGCTCCCAGGGCACTACACCTACTCCACCTCCTGCCTCTGGCCTACAGACAGAGGAGGGCACGGCAACGAGACCAAGGGCGACGTCCACCGAGACTCCTGTGAATCAACCTGCAGACTTCGACCAGAGCATGATGGAGAAATTCTTCTCCTTCATGTCCTTCTACGAGCAACACCAGCAATCGGCACCTGCGCAGTCGCACAACAGCAACAGCAACGGAGCAACACCCATGAGTTTGGACGGCTCATCATATGCACGAGGAAATCAACAGCAGCAGCCTACCTTTGCTCCTTACGAGCGCGGGTCCATCAGCTTCATGCCACACCCGCAGCCTTCACCTGGACAAGAAAAATCACTGGACGCATTACAAGTTCAGTCGCAGTTCGCACACGTTCTGAAGCTGCAAACATCAAGACCCTTCGATGGAAAGGACTTCTTCACCTGGTCGTTTGAATTCGAGCTGATGATGGAAGGCGCGCAGATACTTGGCTTCTTCGACGGGTCCTTGCCATACCCAACAAACGGCACACAGTACGAGAAGCAGCAGTACACCTATCAGTCAATGATGGCGTACACGATTCTACTGAGAAACATCACCCCGACTCAACAGCAGAACATACGATCTTACCGGGGTTACGGCAACTCCGCGGAGCTCGCGTACAACCACTTGAAAGGCCTGTATCAAGCAACAGACAGCGTAAACCAAAGTCGGTTAATGGCACAATTGACAACGGTCGAAATGAAACCAGGCGAGAAAGGACTGGCGTATATCAGTCGGTGTCGCGAATTGCGCGACAAGCTTCTTCGATGCGGAGGGTCGATATCTGAAGACGCCTTCGTGACAGTTATCATCGGTGGCCTCGGTCCCCAATGGCGCGCCACAAAGGCCATACTTCGAGCCCACGGAAGAATCTCCGAAGCAGCGCTCTGCGCCGAAATCCACGCCGAACAGCAAGACATGGACCTGCAAGAAGAACGACACAAAAGAAAGACATCAGCACCGGAATTCGCGTTCCACACTCAGCGACGCTACAACAACAACAACAACCGGCAGCAACAGCCGAAGCCCGTACCTCCGTTCTGCCACATCTGCAAAACTTCAGGACATCCACGCACACACTGCCCGAATCGACAACAATCAACAACGCCACAGCGACAGCTTCGACCTTCAAGCAATCAAGTCGCTTCGACACAAGCAAATCCTTCGACCCAGATTCAAGCCTCAACGACTTCAACGGGACAACCTGCACAAGGAGCAAGAAACATCGTCAGCTGCATGGCAAGACTGAGCGACTCTTGCATCACGGGATCACCACCATACTACTCACCAGAAGAACAACTTGATGAAAGAACTCCACGCCGTGAGACACTGGAGCCGAATCCGACATACGCAGCTATCGCCCAGAGCGAGCCATCCGGGAAAGACACGTGGTTCTTGGACAGTTGCTGCGGACAGCACATGTGTTCTTCAGGACGCTTTGTGCAGCGAGAGTACCAACTCCAACGAGAAGTCGTCATCACCGTCGCCAACAATCAGAACCTGCGCACACGACGACAAGGAGTCGTTCAACTTCAGTCACGAGAAACAAACGTCATTCTACAGATGTCCAAAGTCCTAATCGCAGAAGGCCTCGGCTACAACCTACTGAGCGTCAGTCAGTTGATGGCGAAGGGGATCCATCTTGAAGCAGACAGTACCACCCAAGAATTCAAGTTGTACCACGGCAGAGGAGGCCTTTACATCGGCAAGGCGGTCCTCAAGAACAACGTCTTCGTTCTCGACTTTGTTCCTGATCTCGGCACCGCCGACAGCGACGCCATCGTTAACTTCACCAACTGGACACACCCTCCAGATCTTGATCCAGACTTCAGTCCTGGCGGTTTCTGGTACTCACACACCATCCCTGAGACAGAAAGAACAAGAGCGTTAGCGACAATTCAACATGCAGCAGAGACAACGTCGGCAGCAGCAGAGACAACGACAACAGCAGCAGGAACATCAACGGCAACAGCATGAACTTCAACACCAGTCGCTGGCCCTTCAACGGCACCACTCCTCGACGACACACCACCGACACCCGCGCAACAGCTCAACCCGACACAACGCGAAGTCCACCGAAGCGCGAACGTCACCGCCGGCTTCTACTCCAACTCCGACATATACCGACGCTCGCCCGGACACCGCGCCACCGAAGGAACCTGGCACGCCAGGATGGGACATCCAAGCCACACGGTGTTAAACAACACAATAAGAGCAGGAGTGCTCGACAAGGACTCACTTCTACTGATCGACGGCAGAGAACTTCAACGAGCTCGAGGAACATGCTTCACCTGTCCTGAAGCAGACTTATCACATCAACCGTTTGTGTCTCACCATAATCCAAGCGCACCAGCCTACGCACCACTCGAGAAAGTGTACAGTGACATCCTGTACAATCACGAGCCGGGGCAGAACGCGTACAACTACACCATCACGTTCATCGACGCCGCGACACGTTACGTTTGGCACCTGAATCTTCCAAGCAAAGACATGGCGTTCGAGGCGTTCGTCGCGTGGCTTCCTGCAGCAGAAAGAGAATCGGGCATAAAACTCAAGAGTTTCCAGTCAGACGGGGGAGGAGAATACACCTCACAGAGGTTCAAGGACTACTTGGCAGAAAGGGGGATCAAGCGACTCATTTCCCTTCCCTACGCTCGTCAACAACAAGGCGTAGCAGAAAGGATGAACAGGACACTCCAAGCCACCATGCGCAAGCTGCTACGTGGCATGCACCTGCCCAACCACCAATGGCCCGAAGCAATGGACCACGCCGTCATGCTGCACAACTTGCTTTCGTCATCATCGCTCCCGAACAACGCATCACCGCACCTGCTGCGGACAGGAAAATTGGGCAACACAAAAATGTTGAGAGTTTTTGGCTGCATGGTACAGTACCGACCCCCATCTGCACGCGCCGGTCGATTCTCCTAGCGAGCACAGTGGGGACTACACCTGGGCATCGAAAAACACTACAATGCATGGAAAATCTTCGACATCAACAGCAAAGAAACAGTCGCAGCACGTGATGTCCTCTTCTACGAGAACCTCACCCTCGACGTTCATCTTGCGTACGTGGCAGCAAACAGACCTGATCCCTCGGGCGGATTCAATGGCACCCGTTCCTTCGCTTCGGCAGAAGACG